GTAAGAATAAGTTCATCTTTAAATTCTATAATCCGGCCATATTTTCATTCATGGTGATAATTTGTGATCATAATTCTGTAGGATTGGCTAACATGTTCAGCACTACTAAAATAGGATTCGTTTTTGTTTTTGTTTGTTTTTTTCTTTTTCTTTTTCTTTTCCCATGTGAGAATTGAGAAACAATTCAAAAAGTGAGACATCAAACAAGCAGCTTCCAGCTGCCAATATAACCAGAGTGGAAACATTAAATATCAAGGCTTAGATTCATCCATTGGCTAACATGCTCAGCACTACTAAAGTAGGATTGTTTTTTGTATTTTTTTTTTCCTATGTGAGAATTGAGAAGCACTTCAGAAAACGAGACATCAAACAAGCAGTTTCCAGCTCCCAATCTAACAAGAGTGTGGAAACATTAAATATTAATCCTTTCTTCGACCCATCTCCAAGGAAATACCAAACTCCTTGGCTTATATGCTGATATAACTAAGAACCAAAGGAGAAACTTGTAAATCTAAAGAGAGTGAAGACCTATATAATAGCACCATTTACAATTACTGACTTGACTTCTGAAGCAAACTGGAAAAATACTAGAACAGTAACATGCTTCAAGGCTTAGATTCATCCATTAAAATTTAAAAGTAATGTTCCACGTCCAGTAAGTGGGTCATAAAAAAGGGTTGCAGTAAACATTCATCAACTCAGCAAAATAATCCAAGCATTAACTTTAGAATGACTCTTTACATACCAGAATGGCCTCAATTTCATCACTGGAGACAGGCGTTCTTTTGGGCTGGAGAGAAGCTTTCCCCCCAACAGTTGCAGGAGAAGCCTTTAAGCTAGAAAAGTAAGTCAGATCAGCTTCTGATGCTGTTTGAGGCTGTGATCCTGATGCAAAAAATTATTCTCATAAATACTAGTATATCATAACTGATAATTCTACAGTCATCTCAAGAACTAATGATGCATAACATCTAAATGTTAACCGAAGAAAGAATTAAGAAACCAAAACTGGCCTAAAATAACAAATTAACACCCCCTAGCATCAGGAGCTCCAATTCCCTTCATCTGTTCCACAAACTACTACTACACCAAGAAAAAACTTAGGACGCTGACTACACTACCAATTGATGATAAACTGCTAACAGGTTCTCCGCAAAATTGAAACCATCCTGACATTTAAACAATGTTGCAGAAGTGGCAACGTTTTAGACATGGAATTGGAAACTGCACCAATTGCTTATCAGCCAAGACAAGTACCTTAAATGACTATAATTGAAGCCGAAACTAGACTATACAAATTATCAACTAC